AAATTGATTCTTAAGAATAATTAACAACAAATGATGATGGATCGATATGTCTATTTGTATTGTTATTTATATTTATTATTACCATTAACAAATTTTACTTTTGCTGATTTTAATTTATTTGAAGAAGAAACACGTTTACTACGTACACTTTTAAATGAATCAAAATATTTAAAAAAAGTTCGTCCATCAAAAGAAGTTATTGTTGACATTCGTTTTATTTTTAATCAAATTGTATCAATGATTGAAAAAGAACAAATTATTGTTACAAATTGTTTTGTTGATCAAAAATGGAAAGGTAAAAAAAATGAAAAAAAATGAATATTTTTTTTTTTATTTGTAACGTCAACAAAAAATTTACAGATCCACGTCTTGTTTGGAATCCAATGGATTTTGGTAATATTACTTGGATTAGAATGCCATCAACGTCTGTTTGGTAGGATAAAAATTAATAAAAATTTTGTTTTTCAGTTTCGAAACTTATTATGTAGGTATCCAGATACATTTTTATATAATACAGCTGATAACGCTGGTTTTCTTCTTCCACAAGATTCGCAAAATATGATTGTAAGTTACAATGGAACAGTATTTTGGCCATTACCACTTGCCCAATTACGGACACGTTGTCGAATGACGATTAAACATTTTCCTTTCGGTAATAACTCTTAATCTTTTAATTATTATATAAAAGCATCTTAATACTATAAATCTTATAAGAAAAAAAAATCTGCTTTAGTTCCATTTTAATTTCAAATAGATTGATAATTCCTTGCATGACATAAAAGAATCTTAAAAATCTATAAGAAGCATAGCAATACATAAATTACATCTAGTTAAGATTTTCTATAAAAATATTTTTGTTTACTGAAACATGATCTAAAAGGAATGTCGAAATATAGAAGCAGCAAGTTGGACTTCTTCTCTCCAACAGAGCTGGAAGACATGTTAGGAATGGCTCATCACAAACATAACCATAAAAACATCACAAATCATGACAGGCATAACCATAGAAATGTCACAAACTGTGACAGATCTTATTGATATACATTCACATATCGTCTATAAATAACATCTCGTTATAATATATATGAACTATTTATTGTATTTCTGAAGGATTAAGCAAAAGGATAGTGAAGAAATATGTCGCAAAATAGATAGTATACAATAATCTCTCTTTAATTGGTAACAACAGCTGCATCATATTTTGCATTTCAATCTTGCAGAAATTGCACTAACAGCTTTTTTAATATAGAATTGAGTTCATGATTTTTTTTCTCATTATTATTTAAAAGAAAAATGATAATAATAATAATAATAATAATAATAATATTCTATTTTTAATTAAACTATTTTATATACATGAAAAAAAAAGATAATATTGATTATGATGTACACTGAAATGAAATAATTTATTTTGTTTTTCAAAAAAACAAATAATCAACATTAATCATAAATAAATATTCGAAACGAAAAATTTACTTTCGATTCAAGAATATAAAAATCAATAAATATTAATATTTTGTTCTCATATTCTTTTTTATTATCTTAACTTTAGATGAACAAACTTGTGATATGATATTCGGTTCATGGAGTCATACAAGTTCTTTAATACATTATCAATTTTGGGAAAATAAACCTGAAATACCACAATATGTACCAAATAATGAATGGAAATTATTAGCTGTAACACAATCGATTAAAACAGTTGATTATCCGAATTGGGTTGAACCTGACACATTTTATGAAGTTAATTTTACAATTTTAATTGTACGAAAACCTTTACAAGCTATTTATAATACTGTTGTACCCGCATTAATGTTAACTATTTTAACACTTGTCTCTTTTTTTGTAAGAAAAATATTAATAACCATAGTAGAAGAATTATTTATTTTACTTTTAGATTCCATTTGCTCAAGAAATGCAAATAGGTAAGTTTAATTACATAAAAACAAAGAGATGGAAAAAGTTATACATTATGCTTTTTATTAATAGGTATCAGTATTATGTTGGCTTATTCCGTGTTCAGTTTACGTCTCTCTGAAGATGTACCATCTCAAAGTGATAGTGTACATTTAATAAGTCTTTATTTGACTGTATGCATGTTTTTTTCATTATCGGCTATGACTTGGTTTGCTGTGGCAAATAAATTACGTGAAAAGAAACGTCTACCATATTGGCTTCGATGGTTTGCACTTAATTATATATCTTGGATTGTCTTTGCTAGAAATATGCATCGAAAAGCAGTACGTACTGTTAAATTAGAAGAATTAAAAACTTCTTCTATTATACCATCGATATCAATTGCAAATCCATTACCACAAATAACCACGACAACAACAACAACAGTAAATGAAATGCAAAATTCCAATAGTTGTTGTTTTGAACGAGATCCATTATCAAGTGGAGCTTCAGCAACAGATCCACTACTTTTATCTAAAAGTCAACCACAATCATCTATCGAAAAATCGATTCATTTAACAACACCTATTCAATTTAATACATCTTCTAGCAATGAAACAGGTACTTTAGCAACACGTTCACCATCATTAGTATGGATTCGACGACGATTATCAAATATTCCATTAACGTCGTCATCATCATTAAAAAATGGACCATCAGATAAACTTCCTAATAATAGTCCTAATAAATCAAAGCAATCTCATTTAACAAAATTATTACATCATTCAACAACAAAAAGTCAAGAAAGTTTATATGCTATACATGTTTATAATCGATTAGTTTTCCTGATATTTCTTTCATTTGTTATTATTTTTAATATCTATACATGGTTTATTTATTCAACAACAGTTCAAACAAAATTACTTGATGAGACATCTTCATGGCATTGTTTTGATGAATCTCGTCTTCAAATTGTTAATTGTAGTGATATGTTATAATATCAGAGTGTAAAATTCTTCTTTTTTTTAGAATAAAAACTAAGTTTTAGATATTTTCTCCTTTTTTTTTATCGAATGAAAAACAAATTCTAAAAGAATTTATATTTTCGAAATTTTCTATGATTTTAGACAAATAAAGGGTGATTCATAGAGAATTATACTTTTAATGTTGTTGTTGAATTTTATTCTCTATTACTCTCCTAAATGAAACTTATTTTTTACTCAAAAGATAACACTTGAAATTCTGTATACAAAATAATATAGTTAATAAAAACGAATACACTTTCTTCCTTTTTTGTTTTGGATTAAACGTAATTATACAGTAAAATCAAATACAGAATATAAATTTTTTTTCTTTTTCAATTTTTATCACGGAGTGTTTTATTTTATCTATTGATGTTGCCTTTTTTCTTATGTTGTCTAAATTCATAGCTTGAACTAGTTCATTCCATGAAATGTAATCTAATGAATATAAATCAAATAAATTTAGTGGCCAATAGTTCTTCGGAATGAATGCAGAATAATAATCCGCGCATCATTATTGTCGCCGGTAATATGTCCGAAATCACCGACACCAATCGACTCTTTCCCTAGAGCCCGTTGGGTCTAAAATTATCGGACTCAGTTGAACTGTACTTCGACACTCTCAATGAAATTTTCTAATGAGAATGGAATAGTCGCTCCGAGGATACGAGATATATTTTCCAGTTTTTTTTTATATTTCATGACTAGCACACCCTATGCGCTTGTCACACTACTAGAGGCTATCAGATCGAAAACTTTTAGACCTGAGCTCGGTCAACAAAAATATTTCAGATTCAATTGGATCCGGAACCAACCTGATGGACTTTACCTTATCTACACTTGCATAACGATGCCGTTACTTTTACCTGGAATTCTATTTTTATATGAACAGCATATTTCTTGTTAGCCTCTTTCCGGTTTGGTGGCTAAAGGTCAAAAGTGAAAACGTCGAAAGGCAAAATGTCGAAAACCGAAATCCTTTTAGGGCACAACTTTCACCCACACCCTCACTGTTGTTCTGTGTGCATGTGTACCGTATACATTCCATTGATAAAATCTTAGAAAAAGTTTTTCATCAAGAATTTATAAGGGTTTATAAAGATATATAATTTTCGACATTTTCCATTCGACTTTTTACCACTTTCCTCCTCTTTCCTGTTCACAATTCACATCCTGTCGTTCTCAGCTTATGAAATAAATGAACCAGTTGAAACTATGAATTGAAATTACATAGCAACAAAAGAGATATTGATAGATGAAATAAAACGCTCTGTAAAAAAAAAAGTGAAGAAGAAAAAATTTTACATTCTGTATTTAACTTCACTGTATCATTACGTTTAATTCGAAAGATAATGAAGGAAAACATTCATTTTTATATATGATAGCGCTTTGTGTGCAGAATTTCAAGCACTATCATTTGATTTAAAAAAATGCTTCAATCAAAGTGATAATGGAGTAGAAAATTCGAAAATACCAAGAGTATAATTCTTTACGGTCTGCTCGTTAATTATTCATTATGTGAATTAAATAATTATTAATTTGTGTGTTTGTTTCTTTTTGTCTTATCATGTTTCATCTTGTATGAGACCATTATTTACTGTTAGAAGTGTGTATGTTTAAAAAAAGAAAAAGAAAAAGAAACATATTTACATTTGGACGTTCGTTTTTTTCGTGTCTTAAAAAGATAAATGGGTCCATCATTTGCTCTAAACCAACTACTATTATCATTAAAAACCCTACCTTGGTCAACAACGATAAAAAGCTTATAACCATATACCCACAAAATAACCACAGACAAGGACTCTTTTTCTTAAATGGATACTTTTTTTTGTTTTTTTATCATACTATGTTATCAAAAAATGGGAATCTTTCCTCTCTCTCTCTCTCTCTCTCCTTTTCTCTTTTTTTTTGTTGGTAGACCAAGGAGTATTAGATAGAAAATAAAAGTGCGAGCGAAATAACTGTTATAGTAGTAGTAGTAATTGAAAACACGACGACGAAGGTAAACTGCTGAAATACTGTCAGTTATTTGTAGAGATTCAAAAAAAGAGTTATAGTTGATTATTTCTTTGTTCATCAAACATGTATAATCATTACGAAGAACTACATAAAAGTTCATCAAAAACTTATGTTTCATCTGGTGAAAAAAGAGTTTCAACAAAAGTCCATGCTTCATCTGCTGAAAATTATGAAACAGCAGTAGCAACAACTTATCGATCAGCAATGGCTCCACGTACAATAAGTGTCCTACAATCACGTCCAACAGGTTTATGTACTAGTGTTGCCAGTGCAAAGATGCGCCAAAATTATTTATCAACAGGTGCTAACGCCGGTTTTGGACAAGGTCTAGCTTCTTTAGTAAATGCTGCTGGCGTACCATTACGTGGTGGTGCAGCTAGTATTATGGGAGGTGGTGTTAGTGCAGGTGGCTATAGTGCAGCTCGTGCTACTGCAGCTGGTTATAGTGCATCTGAATATGGTGCATCTGAATATGGTGCATCTGAATATGGTGCGTCTGAATATGGTGCAGCTGGTGTTGGTGCAGCTGGTTTTGGTGCAGCTGGTTTTGGTGCAGCTGGTTTTGGTAGAGCTGTTGTTTGTGGAGCTCCTTCAGCAGCTACTGTTGAAGTTTATTCAATACGAATACGTGAAAAACGTGATCTTGTTGCTTTAAATGATAAATTTGCAACATATGTTGAAAAAGTACGATTTTTGGAAGCAAATAATAGAAAATTAGTCATGGAATTAGACTTATTACGAAGTCGTCTCGGACAGTAAGATGAATTTTAAAAAAACCGAAACATGAAAATAAATTATATATGTTTTCATTTATAATTTTAGAGGTTCGTCACATATTAAAGACATGTACGACTTAGAAATGGTTGAAGCAAATAAGCTCATTGAAGGCTCAAAACGTGAGCATTCTATTGTATATGGAAGAGCATTAGAAGCGGAAGAAATATTAAAACGTGAAAAAACACAACATGAAAGTGTATCAGTATTAAGAATAACGGATCAAAAAGAAGTCGATGCTCTTAAATTAAGAATTGCTGAAAATGAAGCGGTAAGTTAGCATTTATTTAATTGAATTTAAGAAAATTCTTTCTCATTTTTTAATAAAAAAATTCATGATTGAAAATTCAAATTTAAATGTAGAAAATTTTTATAGAGAAAATTTTATTATCTAATAAACATATAGAAAGACATAATAGATTTATAGCAAAAAAATATTTGTATATATCATAATAATTGTAATAATTTTTTTGATTATATAGCAAATAGCTTTATATCGTCGTCGTATGGCTGATGTTGAAGATGAAGTCCAATTATATAGAAAAGAAAGTCAACGTTTAACAGCCGAACTAACTTGTGTTCAAAGTGAACTTCAAAATGAATTATTTCTTAAATCTTCATGTGAATTTGAAAGAATGACTCTTGAAGATCAACTATCTAATATCAAACAAATACGTAAAATTTATTTTTCCTTTAAAATAAATCTTACTTCTTTTTGTTTTATTGAATTTTTTTAAATTATCTAGACGAAGCCGACTTATTTGATGTTCGTTCTAAACTCGTTTCAAGTGATCTTAATCCATCACTATATTTTCGTAATGAATTAGCTCTAGCAATACGTGAAATTCGTAAAGATTATGAAACACACGTTGAAAGTCAACGTTGTGACATGCACAGACAGTATACTCTATCGGTTAATGAAATTGTTATTCAAAATCAATCACTCTTTACAAAACCTTCAGTATCTCAAGAATATCGACGAGAATCGGAGGAAGTGCGTGTTACTTTATTGGAAGTTCAAAATCAAAAAAGTTATTTAAGTGCTCAAAATGAACAAATTCAATATTCTATTGCTGATCTTGAACGAAAGTTGAAAGCTTTCCGCGAATCAAGTAAATAAATTGAAAAACAAAACTTGTAGAAAACTTTTTGTTTTTTTTATTTAGATTCTCTTATAATTACTAAATATGACTCAGAAATAGCTGAAGCACGTGCTTATTTAGCACGTACTGAAGAAACTTATACTAGAGTAATGGCATCTAAAGTATCACTTGAAACTGAAATTGCAACTTATAGAAGATATCTTGAAAGTAAATATTTAAATATTAATGTAGTTCTTTTAATGCATTTAATTATATATTTTTTATAGGTACAGATGGTCTTCGAGGATATGTTGATCGAATTGAACAAGTTGCTCAACTCAAACTTATTGATCGATCTAGTAGTAGTAGTTCTTTGTATGTTAGTGGTGGAAAAGAGTTAACAAAAGCTTCTTCAAGTAGTTATATTAATGCTGGTGGTTCAAATTATAGTTATGGAGCGTCAAAAGCATCTGGTTATCTTAGTAATCTTGGTACTCAAGCAGCTTCTAAAACAAGTGTTACTCAATCATATTCAAGCAGTACATTAGCAGCACCAAGACGTGTTGAAGCATCTCGTACTAGTATATATCAAGAGAGCGGACGTAGTAGTGGATTTCAAGCACAAAGTAGTATGACACAGGAAAGTGCAAAGCGAAGCAGTTTAATACAGAGTGGTGTATCATCACGTGAAAGTTTAACACGTGGTTTTGTGGCACAGAGCAACTCAAAACGTGCTAGTTTATTACGTGATGGTGCATCATCATCACATGAAAGTCTATCATATGAAAATAGTTTTGAAGACAATACCCGAGATGGTGAATATGATGCAATGGCAAATGATTAAATTAATAAGAATAATGAACAATTAAATTTTATGCTTTAGTTGCTTAGTTTTCTTTTTTATATTATTATTGTGATAAAATTTTTATAAAGAAATGTCTTTAGCTATTGATAAATAATGGATTCTTTTTGAATTAATTTCTTTTCTTTCTATTTTTTAATTGAAAAATAAACTGTACCTGAAAATTATTTGATTTTTTAATTTTCTAATATGCAGACTATGCAAAACTTTTATACTGAATAATTGTTTAGAAAAAAATATCCGTACTTTTCGTTTAAACTTACACTCAAATTTTCAAGATAAGGATTGTAATATTTGATACTAAGTTTCATTAGTTCAATTCAATCGTGAGAACTCTTAGTTTTTTATTTATAATCTGTGCATTAAATTCTGATGATATGAGGATATTAAAATATATTGTATCAACATTTATCTATACTCTATTTCAAAAATAACTTCATAGCTTACAAGTCTAAATAGTCAATTCTAGATGAATGTGTCAGACGAGTTAGAATTTCAATTTTTGTTTCTTATTGAAGAAAACTAAGAAGAATATCTTTCAATTGTGATTCACTGTATTATAATGGATTTTCACAGAACTTCATCATAATGATGTTTTTTATTTTATAATTTATTTTCAATATAATTTTGCTCATTCATACATTTACAAGCAGCATTATTATCTACTTTAGAAGACTACTGATGATAACGAATGATCTGTTTACCACCAAAATGCTGATAAGCTTTGTTATTTTTGCTATTGTTGTCTTTTGATGTCTCCTTGAAGGCTCTTTTTGTCTACTGACCATGAATTTTACCATTGTTTTTACACAATATTATTATAGTGCATAAAAGTTTCATTATCCTGCGTTGACTTCATATAGATATACATGTATGTAGGTATGCGTACTTCAGTTTATTGACCATCGATTAAATGTAATTAGTATACACTGACACACTGCCATTAGTGGTTACTGAAACATGAACACACTGCTACAAAAAAAAAGCATATTTTTATAGGGGTAGTGTCTCAACATGATAGCGAACGTGGATACCAGTATGATAAGTACTTCAGTGGATCCTGTGTCGACAAGTCACTATCAATATTTACAAAATACTGCACATCCCTAGATATATGAAGTCAATGAAATGATAACTGAGATGCTTCATGTGAAACTTGTCGGCAAATATAAAAAGACATGCCAAGATTCGACTGAAACAAGGGCATTCCGTATCAAAGATGATGACAATGACCATTGATGATAGCAATAACCAAGAAAAAGTTATATTACCAAAACTTTTAAAACTGACATAAGAAGTATGAAAAGAGTAATTTTTCAAATTGCAAATGATGAAGTTATATATACAACATTCATGTATCTTTTATTGAAAATTATCTTCTATGTTTCTCGTTTGTTTGACAATGTGTTCTACTTAATCCACTATACAAATAACAATAGTTCAAACTAGAGAAATAGTCAATGAATACAACTTGAAAAAAATATTATCCACATCCTGATTTGATTAATGAATCATAATAATTCTACACGTTCTTGTAGAGGACAAAGCATTTTATTAAAAGTGATTCTCTATTTTAAGTCAATTAGAAACGTTTTGTTTGTACATCAGATAATAGAAATCAAAACGATTTCTGTGTTTTACTGAGAATTTATTTGAATTAATAAGAAAACTTACCTGAATTTCTATTTTAAATTCATACATAAGCATGAAAAAACTTTTATGAGAAATATAGTTCAAATCTTTTTATGGATATTTATGATTGAGAAATCTTTGACTGAAACTAACATTAAATTGAAAGAGTTTATTAATGTTCAAGTCTTTTTTATTTTCAAACTGTAATAAAATTTTCAAACAAATTTTTCACTTCACAAATGAATTAGCCACATAGACAATAGCAGCAAAGTTAAAATTCAGTAGACGTACTCTAAATTTTTTCCTTAATGAGAAATGTATTAAAAAAATGTTGTTGAAACAAGTTCATACAAATTTCTGCTAAACTAACTTATCTATCAGAAAGTCTCCAGTTCTGTCGTCACTGCACATGAAGAAAAAAACCTGCTCTATCATCGAATATAGTTTCCATTATATACAATATTTCCATACGAGAATGTTGTTCATTTACCAAAATCTCAATAAAAAAAACTGAAAAAGTTATTAGATAATTTAGAAGATATGGTTTATTGATTCAAATTAATTGATAAACTATAAAAATTGTTTTCTTATTTAGTTTAATATTTTAAAAACATTCAGTAACAACAAAAATATGTCGATATATTTTATACGATATTTAACAATATCTAACTGAATCTGTATAATCTAAAAATATACACATCAAATAAATGAATTCTTCACTTTGTTTCTCTGTGACAATTGTCTAATTACAACATTTGACAAACATATGTTTTCAATTCAATCAAGGAAAATTTTTATTGAAAAATACAGAAAAACATTTGATCAAACGAACAAGAATAGAATGTATTCTTGTTAGTTTAATTGAAAACAAATTTAACATATCATTGTTAGAAATTATGTATCAGAAAAAAAAGTGACGAAGTTCAATAAGGAAAAGCAAAAATAAAAATAAAAATTGATCAACACATCATTAGAGTGAATATCCGTTACGGAAAGAAAATATCAATGTTACAACAAAACTAATAAATCATATAAAATTTAAAAGAAATGAAAAAAACTTTCTTTTACTCATGTAATGTTCTCCTTAAATGTTTGATATTTTCGGATATATTGATCATGCACAGTGGCTCTCAAAATTATTCGACTAGGTTTTTCTATAAATTTTTTTCCGTTCCGTAAACACACAATAAGAATGAAACGTCTTCCAGTTCTCTACCACATTTTTCGCTCAAGATTAGATCAATTTGAACGAAATGCACAAAAAAGAGGTTTCACATACAAAATAACAGAGAAAACAACTTTTACGCCTTCCATAATGTTGAAGTATCTCAAGTGTAAAACACCGTGAAGAATTGTTTGCTTTATCATTCTAGATAATTAAAACAGAATCGAGATTGAAAAGTCAAAGAATTGAAAATCTTAGTTTTTCAGAGACTCTTGCTGGGAGAATATCAATCATTTTCATCTGGAAAATTGTTGTTGGAAACAAAATTCTCTACTAAAATCACTATTCCGATCTTTTTTTTACCGTTTACGACACCGAAAAGAAATTTATAATAAATTTGCTCGAATAATTTCGAGGGGATTTTTAAAAATTAAACATCATTAAATTTCTATCGTATACTAAAAGACTATATACATTCAGATAGTTGATTCTAAATTCAACCTAAATATTGAAATATAGTCTTGTTCAATGAATGTGATTATTAACAGTGTTATCGGAAAATATTGTATGAAGATCAGCCTCGTGACTATGTCTGTTAAGAGTTCGGAGATCTTCTGGTAGCACAAACAGCTTTCTAAATAAAGCTCAAAGGTAGATAGCGAGAGTGAACTTGTGCACGGTTCCGTCACTAATCGCTTTATACTCGTGTTTACTTTACCAATTATNTCACGAATATTACCCCAAGTATTATTCCATGGACTAAAATCAGCCGCTTTATATTGCTCTATTATTTAAATAAAAATAAATTCTTTCATTTATCATTGACTAATCTTACCTGCTAAATTATTATAATTTAATGTTAAACATCCAAATTTAATATTATGTGATGACTCAATAATCGGTTGACTAGCACATGATAAATAAATATATAAATCACGACAATCTCGTGTACGAAATTGTTGACACACTGTTGCTAATATACAATTTGTTGAATCTCGAATAAAAATACTAAACAAAAAATTTATTTACTTGTTTCAAAGAAAAATATTTTCATATACCTTCCATGAACAGGTCCTATTAATATTCGACAATTAGTACAATCATCAATTTGTATTTGACCTGTATGGTCAAATACATAGACAGTACAATTCTATTTTGAAAGAAAAATAAAAATAAATTTTGAACAATGATAACTACAATTACTAACGTCACAATTTTGTACTAGAAATAGAAATAAATTTATCAAGAATAAATAGATTTAAAGATTTTCTTAATATTACCTATAAATTGTTGTCCATTAATGGAACCTGGTAATCGGTATATTGTTTCATTATTGAGTTTATCAAGAATAAAATCTTCTTTTCTTATTGCTTGTCGATCTTCTTTTTCCCTATACAAAGAAAAAGAAAATTAAGAACAAAAATCAATGCACGATAACAAGAAAAATATTCTCGTACCATGAGAACACTTGACGTGGTGTTTCAACTATGTCGGCACTGGCCGAGGGACGAAAGAAAAATGAGAATAGACATCCCATGTCTAATAACAAGATCCAAGCAAGAAAAAGAAACGCATACACACGCACAGAACGAAAAAATTCTTTCGTTTTCTTTCTCTTGTTTACGCTGTCATCATCAATCAAAGATCTCTGCTTGTTCCATAATATACCCAATACATTCCATTATTCCATTGCTTAAATAACTTACTAGGAATGCAGAGAAAGAAAGAGGACGAATGATCTTCTATGTCTATATTACCATGGAACTGACATGACAGTTGTCGATGATAAGAATTGAATTATTTTCTTTTGTTTTTTGTTTCACATTCAATCGATCATTAGATAATGTCTCAACAAGGTGCTGCATTACAAAACTATAACAATGAATTAGTTAAATGTATATATACATTATTTATTTATTTGGTTTGTGTTCAGAAGAAGTTTTTTTTGTAAATATTTATTTATAGGTATTGAAGATTTATGTGCGAAACGTGATGAATTACAACGACAAATTTTAATTGAAGAAGAAGATAAACATAAACTTGAAAATGATATACGTTTATCAAGTGAAAAATTATGTAAAATCAATGAAAATTTAGCAAAAAAAATAACAGCAAGAACAGAATTTGATCGAACAATAAGTGAAACTGAAGCTGCTTATATGAAAATTCTTGAAAGTTCACAAACACTTCTTAATGTAATATAGAAATTTGTCTTTATCATAATTCAATTGACTATCTTTGTTTTTTTCTTTTCGTAGGTACTCAAACGAGAATCACATTCACTTCGTACTAAAGTTGATGAATAAATCACTAATTTAGTTTTCTTTTCCATACAATACAATATCACTAAAAGTAATTCTTTCTTCTTCTTTTTCTGTCTCTTCTTGTCAGACACATTTATTTGTATCTAAGAAATAAATATAAAATAAGTAAAATGAAAAAAAAAGAAATTAGCTTGAATAAATTTCTAATTATAATGATGATGATACATAACTAAAGGTACAGAGTCTGTCGGTGTGCATAAACGCTTGTTTGGGAAAATGTTTCTCAATCTAGGGAAATTTGTTTTTTGAAAAAATGTGGTTTATATTGATTTGTTTGTATTGCTTTGTTCGAAAGTACTGAATCTATGAATGTCCTTTGGAATCTTCTTTCGTATGGGAAGATTTTCCATTTTCACGGCAGTTTCTGCACCATTTTGTATAACATGATTTTCCAGTATATGGAGTGATTTGAAGTTGTTTTAAATCCATACATAAGGTATTTGCAATATAATTATAAAGTTCATTTAAATATTTATTTGATAAATATGTTTTTCGACTAAATAGATATAATATTTGTTCTTGACATGGATTATTTTGGTTCTAATTTTGTGACGCACAGGTATAAGCTAATGCATAATGATCATAATCAGTTTTTAATATATAAAAAGGCCAATTAAGATTTATAGGACTATTGGGATCTTGTTTTTGAAGAATCATTTTTGCACCATTGTTTGCAAGAATTGGACATGGACCAAATGAAAAGCAATTTTGTGCATTAGATAATCGGGCTCTACCGAAAACGAGAAGACGTTAACTAACACCATTTTGTAATTCAAATGATTGAGAATAATCATTCCATATACTAGATGGATTAATAGATTGAGTTGTGTACCAATTTGGTTCGTACCATAGACCAAGAAACCTTTTCAAATTAAAATGTCGTTGAACAGCCAAATTTGAAAATGAAGAGACTGTACATCCCATTGATTTATTAATGAATAAGACCAATCCTATGATGAGAAACCAACACATTTTTATGTGCTTTTTTTGTTTTTATTAAACGTACAAAATAAACATACAGAAGTATACTTAATCAGGATTTTTATATAGAAATCGAGCTGTCGATATAATGCTGTTTAATATACAATAGGAGAAAAAGACGAAGACAAACAAAACGGTGTAATATATATCTTTCTTTGTTTTTCGCTCTACTTTTACAGAAGTATATGATTGATTGGTGGGAAAATAAAATCATGACAAAAATTGCTATTTTATGTTTTGTTTTTGTTTAACATAATGACCCGAGCGATAACTAATACTTCAAAATAATATTGACTATTTTTATCAAGGTAATACTCGATGATTCTATTATTATTTCATCACTTTAATCACATTATGATTTGTCTTCTGTATAGTTTGATCATTTTTCATTAATCTTTTAGTCTAAATATGGTGTGATTCTACCAACATATATATATATGTACATGCATTTTCCTGTTTTTGATCCTTCTTTTGTATTATTCCTTCTTATTATTATTGTCGATTCTTTTCAAATAAAACACTATAATCAGTGGTAATAACCATCGATTTTTCAATACACTCTGTTTTTGTTTCAAGATACTAGTTCATTTATCGATTTTAATACATACAGGAATCAAGCCTTGTCAATATCAACAAGTATTCAACAATGGACAAATTTTTGTGACTCGATCCGATATGGACTCTGATATCGACCGTTCTTGTGTTACTTTTGAGAAAATCGATTTCTTCATCGTTTTTTCTTCTCTTCATTTCGTGGTTCGAAGCAAAAGATATATTCTTGATTTCTTTTTGTCTTTGATATTTCGTAGTTTTGATAAAACGATTATGTGATGGAAGTTTTTTCTTGTTTGTCTTTCTTTTCCTATGCACACAACCGTGTGGCCTTTATATCACCATTGAATAGATGGTGCACACGCTATGGATTGTTGTCTGATATCAATAAAGTAAGTCAGTCAAGTAGAATAAAAGATCGTTCAATACATAACTTGTTGTTCTACTAAGCTTTTTCAGATTCTCTTATAGAACTTTTAAATAAAAAAAAGCATTTAAAATGTATTTTGTATCTGTAGAACGTTCAGACTGCACATTCATTTCAACGTCCAAAATTGTTTTCGTAACCCGATCCGATTCAAGGATAAATTTTCTTTTTGTGATCCTGCCCGAGTCGGGCAGTGATATAAATGTAAGTTATTGAATAATTGCAATCATCAATGTATTATACATTTGAAGTTGTCATGATGAATAAGTTAAGGTATATATCAAATTGGCCAAAGAAAAAACAGCGAAAGAAATAATAGCAAAACAAGACCAGAAAACAAATTTCTATCCAAAAATATCGAAAAACAAGTGTCGAAAAACCATGATGACGTAAGAAGAATGTCAAACGTATAAAAATGGCGAAAGAATATATTTTCCTAAAAAAATATTGAAAATGTTTCAGATGTCATTAAGTGACTCTATTAAGCAGTAAGATGTGAACTTCAAGATTAGAGATGAAGCGAGGATTGATATACACACCCATATTCTACTCACACTAAGAACAATATAAATGTATTGCTGATTTTATGACTGAATATTTTTGATTCACTTTTTTTTGTTAGTCTACTTAAACATGGATTATTTCTCCGTATGCAATAAAATATCTTCATCTCGCTGGTCGAAAATGTTGAAATTCACTTTTTTCCAAGAAAATCATAAGATTCACAGATCTTTTTTGCTATAGACTCTTTCGACCAGGACTCCGCGAAGGATGGGATAAGATGAACTATTCCTCTCTATTCCATGAGACATCTTAATCGTCAAATACTTTTAAAAGAGAAAAACAGTGTTCAAACGCTTATAGGTCGATTCATACCCACACCCTGTAGAATCAGAGATAGAAGATGATGATAGGGTAATAAAAGAAATAAGATGGAGCTATCATCGAACTTGTTAAACGACACATATAAGATCAGTTTTCAATAAAAGAGGACCAATTATTCAGAGACATTGTACCAGTTATAAGCACAAACAAAATCAAATCATTTGTTACTATTACGATAAATCGAACTAGACATTCATCAATTCTGATTCTAATTCTTGGCATGAAATTGACTGGAATAAAGTGAAATAAGAAACAGGAGTGCATCAAGTTGATACACCGCCTAGTTCCAATTTAAGCCTATTCCAATTTCAACTTCAGTCAATTCTAGAAAATTGGAATTGACTGGAACAGGAATTCATGCATGTCTAACTCGAACTGCATTCTTTCTCGATGTGTTGGTTCATTGTAATCGTTTGCAGCATCACATCGTAATGACTGCACTGCTTCACCACTTACCGAGTTTTTATTTCTCACTTATTTTACTCGAACTGAAGAATACGAAATATGTATCTAAATATTTCTATTGTTTTTAACAGAAGCATAGCTTTTCTATAAAATATTTCTGTGTCGTGGGATGGATGCAATGGAACGAGGCTGTTCTATATCACGCAGAGCCCTGGCTTTCACATTTTGTTGGTGCACTATTCTTTTCGTCAACATTTTCTTTCGACCAATTTATTACCATTCTAAATAAAATGATTTGTATGTCCTATAGTATAGATTTTCAACATTAAGATTCTTGACCATATAAATGTTACAAACAAAATATATTCGAATATCAATAAAAAATCAAATATTTTATAAACAATCTCATTATGATAACGATATTTTAGGTATGTCTTTTTTGTGATGTTTTCTAACTTTGTTAACATGATTATCGATAGTTAATTGAATATAAATTCATGATTGAATGAGACATACAATGGACTTTGAAGCTTGTTCAACTCAACTATTCTTTTATATGATTTTGATTCTCTTATCAGTTATAATTTATACTTTCTATATTTAATTTGAAAGAAAAATATCAACTGTTTCTCTTAACTATAAGATTAATCCTATTAAATATAAATATTAACATAGACAAAACGATATAAAAATAGATCATCCTCTACACTATTCTACATAGATTAAAGTTCCTTTTTCAATTATAAACTCGCCTAATTCAATTTTTGCATTCCTGGAAGAAAATCATTCAAAAAAAAACAATTGAAACTTATACCTTAAATCATTCAATAATTGTTTTGATTTTTCCAAAAGATGACTAAATTTTTGAACAGTTTTATCTTCATAATCATTAACATTACCTTCATTTAAATGTTGTTGATCGCCAGGTGAGGCATTTTTTCAATCGAGCTTATACCTGCTGCCATAATTCTTTCATTGTCATAAACAATCTTCTATCATTTATAAAGAAAAACAAATCAAAATCTGCAAAAAAAGGCATATATAATTCAAATTCACATTGTGTTTTATTTTCACTACTAGTTAAGTAGACGATTTTTTTTTCTTTTGCTAAAGACTATTGACAGATAACGACAACGTAAATACAAATACAACATCATCATCATTATTAAAGCACAATTAAATATGAATAAACTGTTAAGATTGCTATTTTTCAATAAAACAAAATGAAATATCATCTTATGCAAACATTTGCATACTTGCAAAATTGTAAAATTTATCAAGTTGTTCATGAGCATCTGTTGCTGATTGACTAATAAAATCTAAGATGAAAATATAATTTTAGTTTCTTACAAAATTTTTATCATTGAAATCTTACAAGGTAAATTTTGATATTTCAATTTGATGAAATCATTAAGTAATTGTTGACATATTTGTACACAATTTGTACCAGCAAATTCAAGTCCTATAACAGGACCTTTTGTAACTAACGAATTATATGCTGAATTTCCTGAAAATAATCGTGAAGCACTCATTTCATTTATTAAATAACATTTTNCAGGCTCTCAGCCAATCATAGGTTTTTAATTTACGAGTGAATCTTTTCAAGTGTCCCCCGCCGATTTCCACGAAACTTCATCCATAGATACTACATAGTGTCCTAGTAAAAACCCTTAAAAGGTTTGAGTGCGAATTGCTTTCTTCAAAAGTTATAGCCATTTTACTGAATTTTCGACCCATTCCTAGGATTTATCCAAGGGAGAAACATCGTACTTTTGTACTTTAAAGTACGGTGAAGTACTTTAAAGTATAGTGAAATACGTTAAACTACAATGAAGTACAATAGGGGTGGGAATTTAGTGTTATGTTACCAGGTAACGGGTAACGGAGTAACGGCAATTGGGAGACCTCGACCGTTCTGCTAATGAGGAGGTATTTCGAGAAAATAACGATTTTGTATAAAGGTGGACGATAGTAAATCGAGGTCGGGCAATCCGAATCTGCAATCGGTTTCTCAAAATTTTGAAGTGGAGTTTTGGGCTAAGGAAGAGGTATTTTCGGGAAATAACGATTTTCTATAAAGGTTGACGATAGTAAATCGGGGTCGGGGAATCCAAATCTGCAATCAGTTTCTCAAAATTCCGAAATGAATTTTTGAGCTAAGGAAGGGGTATTTCTGGGAAATAGTAAATTTCTATAAAGGTTAACGAAAGTAAACCTGGGTCGGGGAATCCGAATCTGGAATTAGTTTCTCAAAATTGGAAACTCGATTTTTAGACGAACAAAGGGGTGTTCTGGAAAGATGAGCATCTATGATAAGACCTTGTATCACCTGTTGTGAAAAATCAGTCTTGCTGCTGGGCTTAATTTTAGTGTATTTCCTAGTACTGACGTGCGTCTGTAGGTTGTTACTCCCATTGGTTGTTTAAAATGTTGTTGCGGTGTGAGATACTTCAATGATGCTTGCAGAATGGAAGGCTCATTAGCGACCCGCTTCGTTGGCATCGATAGTGTATTCGAATTTGAAAGATCTTGTTGCATGAAACTGATTTGCGGAACTGCAAGTATTTGTTTGTATGTCTGAAGCCAGTTGAGCAATACAGCTGAAGCATCAAAGGGCGGCTGTGGCTGAAATTGCGCTTTTAGCGGAGAATGCATTGGCGTCGGTTTGCGCACGAATTGAGGCTCTTGTGATTGTATTTGAGGGGGGCCCACAAATTGACCGCTCAAATTTACAAACGGTGCAGTTACACATAGCACATATTCGCAGCTTTCATCATTTCATTAAATGATGCGTGTTTCTTTAGTTTGGAGAGCTTTATGCGTTTCTGAAGCTTCATGAAATATTAAAGTTCTATGGGTATGTGAGGTTCATCAAGTTCAATAAGAACGTCATAGTGCAAGACTAAAAGTTCAAAGATTCAGTTTAAGGTTACGAATGTAGTGCGATTCGAGAATTTCCTGTGTTTCTTTTATTTTGATGGTTTCTAAAGCTACTTGTGAGGCATGGTTTGTTGGCCGCAAGACGGAACTAATTTTTATAGTAACTCAGATTAATGAGTCATAAAATACTTTGATCTTTATGATTTTTATGAACAGCTTTGGTAGAGTGTCTGAGAGCCTGCTACTATCTTGAGTGGGTGTCAGGATTAGTGGGCCTTCGTGCTCATGAAAAATGGTTGTTACTATTGGTATCATGAGATTGCTGATAGCTTCTATTACTTGCGTGGAAATTCTGATAGTACTTCGTAGTTCCAAGGAATTGTCGGTAGTGAACTAGTGTACCTGATAGTCCCTGGTTATCTTTGCTAGTTTCTTGTGATTTCCGATAATGGCTAACAACTGCCCATAATCCCTGTCGGCCTTTTGTAATCTCTTGTCGTCTTGTACTATCCTTAGAAATCCTTTTCAATAGGCGTAACAGATCTTTTTATCATTATCAATAGCTCTCGATGAGAAAGCAAAGTGGGATGCAATACGATTTTTGGCGAGATGTAATTTTTGCGAAAATATACGGCTAACTGATAAACAATGGCAAAGATAGAAATATTGAAACAAAAACTATCATACTGAAGTTGATAATTATCCTGAAGTTATATCAAAAATTAAGTGTTCACAGCATCTACATTAAAAAAGATCCACTTGCTACGAGACATATTCTTTGGCCCAATTTTATCCATGTATATACAGTGGGTACCAAAATTATTCAACCAGGTATATTTTCAATTTCTTTCCGCTATCTTGAACGCTAGAAACAATCCAAATAATGATTCTGGTAGAGAAAACTGTTTCCAACCAGATTACTTAGGGCGTACCAAAAGTTCGTGCCCCGTCATTTAAAGGACCTTGTCGGATGGGGTGAACTAGTTTAGAAATAAGAAACGAATATATCATGTTGTAGAGCTTTTCGAGCCGCATCGAATGGTATATAGTAAATTCTGTTTTCTTAGAACTTTGAACAACCTAGAGTCAATTTATTGATGGACGACTACACATTCACACCCATTCATACTCACGTTCGNAAAAGCTCTTGATATTTGCCAAAAATCTCTCCCTCCGAACCATTCCAACTTTGCTTCTGCCCACGGGAATATCGGGTATATCTATCGTAGAATGGGGGAAAACCCGAAAGCCCTTTCATTTTATGAAAAAGATCTGGGGATCGCACAATAGTGCCCCCCCCCCCCCCCCCGAACCATCCTGACTTCGGTTATCCATTCAACAACATTGGTATGGCGTATAGAAACATGGGCAACTATTCCAAAGCATTATCTTGGCACAAAAAGGCTCTCGATATTCGGGAAAAGGTCCTGCCTTCCAACCATCCTGACTTAGCCATTACATATAATGACATTGGTGCAGTGTATGAAGATATGCATGAGTACACGAAAGCATTTTCGTTCTATGAAAAGGCACTTGATATGGTACAAAAGTCTCTCCCTTCAACACATTCGAATATCGCACCATTGAAAACAATTATTGAAAATGTGAAAAAAAAATGTAGCTCGAAATTTCCGCCGCAAGAAATAAATTTCCTTTAATACTTCTCTGAAAGCTGAACGCATCTTGCCATTTCTATACAATATCTCTATTCGCGCGTGCGACCACGAGACATTGGAATCCCGTTGGATTCGTAGTTGTGGGTGTGAGCGTGCCTACGCGTGTGAGTGGCTGTGAATGTACATCATCTCCTCGCATTCACAGTCACACCCCCCAAAGAAAATTTTTCGAAAATGAAAATTTAGCCTCGGGTTTGGATTGCTCACCTATGATTACCTTCGATCAAGTTTCATTTCCGAAAATACGGCCTAGCTTCCAACGACTCATGGCAACATGTGACTATACACCTGTACGCAAACATACCAACACACAAGCTCATTTTGGATGTGAAATATGGGGGTAGATAATCTCATCGTGTCCACCCTTACACTCATATTTATACTCACACCCACTCACACCCACCCACACCCCACGCAATGCTTTGTTTTAAAAAACAAAATATACCACAAGATACAGCTTGCAAAGCCCTACAATTTACATAGAACAGTTTATTGAAAAAAGAAAAAAAGAATTTCACATTGATGTAAAAAAAATGATCCTTTCGCAGCGTCGAAAATTGGTCGCACCGAATTTTGCTTTTTTTTGAAAACGAAAAGTACATAATTGAAATAAGCTTTACTTTGTAAATTGTAGTTCTTTTCACGCTGCATCTTGTGGTAGTTTTTTTAAAACAATGCATTAAGTGTTGCAAAAATTAAATGGAAAAAGGTAGTTTTTTGTCCAACGGTGACTTGATGATTATTGTACGTTGTATGAAATAAATACGAAGAAAAATTTTACTGAAATTCAGAGCGCCGTAGCTTAATGGTAAAAGCGCGTAAAAGCAGGTTCGTCATACTCATGACTAGAAATGGTCCGCTGACAGACTGTTCTCCTCTCATAAAGGCGAGAAGGAGGTTCGATTCCTCCCGGCGCTACTCGTTTTTTTTCCTGTGTATTGATAGGATGCAAATAAAATCATTTCTCTTTCTCCTTTTGCCTTGATATGTGACTACTATCGATCAATTTTTTCATTCCTTTAAAGCGATGATGAAATCTGTCGTCATCATGTACAATCACATCGTTAGTTTCTGTATTGCACATGACAGCCTAATCGATTGTTGCTATTGAAATATTGAAATCAAGAATAGCAGATGTGTATGGGCAACTTTAATAAAGAAGGCAGACATGAAACTTTGGTGCTCTGAAATAGTGCTACAGTTTTGTTCTCTTTCCTTTCCTTTTCTTTCGTATGTATACATAGATGTATTAGATGTTATATGTGTTGATGCATATGCACAAACTTTATCATGCATGTAATGAAAAAACAAACATAACACATAATATATATATATAAGAAGTATGAAAAAAGGAAGATACCGACACAGATCAAAACAAGATTAAAGAAGATAGAGGATAACATAAAAGAATTATTATATCAATGTGCGACATCACCGTAGCATGCTCCCCTATTGGACAAAATAATGCGGTGTAGCAACATTTTTATAACAATATAACTATAACAAATATAATGAGATAGGCCGTGTCTACACTAGAAAATTTAATACTGAATTAAGGGACTTGATTGATCGAAAAGTTAATTCAGATTTAATGCACTTTTCAGATGCGAATTAAGGGTGTGGGTGTTGGTGCATGCGGGTGAACATAAAAGTCATACCCACGCATTTGATCCTTGTAATTGTTCCAACAGAGGCACAAGATAGGGATTCAGCTGATTGATGCTTAGAATTTTTTTTCTGATAGATCAAGAAACTGTAGACAATATTTAGAAGCAGTTGTACTTTGTATCTTGAAAGAGAATGAAAGTAGCAAATGCTTCAAGAGGGAAACATCGTACTTTTGTACTTTAAAGTACGCAAAGTACGGTGAAGTACATTAAAGTACAGTGAAGTACGTTAAACAACAATGAAATACAATTAGGGGTGGGAATTTAGCGTTATATTACCAGGTAACTGATAACGGAGTAACGGCAATTGAGAGACCTCGACCGTTCTGCTAATGAGGAAGTATTTCGAGAAAATAACGATTTTTTATAAAGGTTGACGAAAGTAAATTGGGGTCGGGAAATCCGAACCTGCAATTAGTTTCTCAAAATTGGAAACTCGATTTTTAGACGAAGCAAGGGATGTTCTGGAAAGATGAGCATCTATGATGAGGCCTCGTATCACCTGTTGTGAAAAATCAGTCTTGCTGCTGGGCTTAATTTTAGTGTATTTCCTGGCACTAACGTGAATCTGTAGGTTGTTACTTCCATTGGCTGTTCAAAGTGGTGTTGCGGTGTGAGATACTTCAATGATGCTTGTAGAATGGAAGGCTCATTAGCGACCCATTTCGCTGGCATCGATAGTATATTCGAATTTGAGGGATCTTGTTGCATGAAACTGATTTGCGGAACTTCAAGTATGTATTTGCATGTCTGAAGCCAGTTGAGCAATACAGCTGAAGCATCAAAGGGCGGCTGTGGTTGAAATTGCGCTCTTAGCAGGGAATGCATTGGCGTTGGTTTGCGCACGAATTGAGGCTCTTATGATCGTATTTAAGGGGGCTCACAAATTGACTGCTCAAATTTACAAACGGTGCAGTTACACATAGCACATATTCGCAACTTTCATCATTTCATTCAATGATGCGTGTTTCTTTAGTTTGGAGAGCTTTATGCGTTTCTGAAGCTTCATGAAACAATAAAGTTGTATGGATATGTAGGGTTCACCGAGTTCAATAAGAACCTCACAGTGCAAGGCTGAAAGTTCAAAGATTCAGTTTAAGGTTACGAATATAGTGCGATTCGAGAATTTCCTGTGTTCCTTTTATTTTAGAGGTTTCTAATGCTACTTGTGAGGTATAATTTGCTGGCCGAAAGACGGGATTGATTTTTAAAGTAGCTCAGATAAAGGAATCATAAAATACTTTGATTTTTTTCATTTGTATGAACAGCTTTGGTAGAGTGTCTGTGAGCCTGCTACTGTCTTGGGTGGGTGTCAGGATTAGTGGGCCTTCGTGTTCATTAAAAACGGTTGCTACTGTTGGTGTCTTGAGCTTACTGATAGCTTCTATTACTTGCGTGGACATTCCAATAGTACTTCATAGTCCCAAGTAATTCTTGGTAGTGATCTAGTGTACCTGAAAGTCCCTGGTAATCTTTGTTAGCTTCTTGTGATTTCCGATAATGGCTAACAACTGCCCATAGTCCCTGTCGGCCTTGTAATCTCTTGTCGTCTTGTACTGTTCTTAGGAATTCCTTTCAATACGCGTAACAGATCTTTTTATCCTTATCCATAGCTCTCGATGAGAAAGTAAAGTGGGATGCAATACGATTTTTGGCGACATGTAATTTTGGGAAAATATACGGATAACTGATAAACATTGACAAGGATAGAAATATTGGAGCAAAAAACTATCATACTGAAGTTGATAATTATCCTGAAGTTATATCAAAAATTAAGTGTTCACAGCATCTACATTAAAAAAGATCCACTTGTTACGAGACATATTCTTTTGCCCAATTTTATTTATGTATATATCTTTCTCTATACTTCTTCAGTATCATATATTACTGAGTCCAATAACATTATGCAGCATATCCTCCTTCCAGAGTCAATCTTCTTAAATGAACTTGCACTCAACACTGAAAATAGCCCATCAATTACTTTTCTCTTACTATTCGAATTAATATCATGTCTAAGGATAATTCATAAACAGATATTTTCCGTGCAAGATCATTATCATACTGCATTTCTGCATGAAAATTTAAGTCATTTCAACGACTTCATTGCGTACTGCATCCCTGCTCCCAAGGCATCTATTCAGCATCGAATGCCATGGCCAACTATTACATGAATTCAAACCGGTCCTGAACAGGTCACCTTCCATTCCACAAATGATATTCCTAGCTTTCACCAAGAAGATCCAGCATTCATGAAAACAATTTCCAGGACTCAACGCAAACTCTACTTAGCCGAGTGCAGTAGAACCGGCTTTCAGGGTGTGTTGGTGTGGGTGTAGGTGGGTGTGGGGTGTGGGTGTGGGTGTGGGCGTGAACGTGGGTGTTACTGTGCGAGTCTTCTAATCATCTACACTCACACCCTCTCTTCTGTGTTTTTCGAAGTTATCATCTACAGAAGGTCTAAGATCAATTATTCATTAGTGTTTATCCTTTTTAATCTAAAGCCAGACTTAGCAGAAAATGATTCTTTGGGTCTTAAGCATTTAAAACTGCAATAAATGGATCCTCTTAGTGAAACTGTTTCCAAAGTGTCCCTGATTTCCGAAAGGTCTAACAATAAATTTGGATTGCTAAGACCATTTTCTAACATTCCGTTTTTTCTCATCTCAGACAGCTAGAAAAAAATCGACCTTCATTTTACCATAGACGGGTGTGGGTGCGGGTGGGTCTGGCTTTGGTTGCAAATGTCTCTTTTTTTATCCACACCCACACCCTTACATTTTGAATGTTATTTAACTTCAAGGCAATAGTGTTACATTGAAAATATTCTATTTACATTAGATCTAAAACTGAAGTAAGAAATAGAAAAACAATTTCAATCCATTGTTTTTTCTTCCGTTTTATATTATACATATAAAGTCTATACAAGGTAAAGCGAAGTGAAAATATTCATGAGCTTTCTCGTGTTTTTATCATATATATAGACATATATTCCAGCAAAATCTATTAAATATGAATATATTTATTTAATAAGGATGTGCATATGAATACTTCTGTGTGAAGATATGACTTACACACAAAGCAACTCATGTCGCACACTTGTTCGTATTATTGCCATTTTTTTTCTGCAACTAAAGGTAAATACTACCGGTAAGTTGCACATTATATTGAATGGTCTACCAATGGTTAACAGGTGGTTTCTTTGTGGTTTGAATCATGTAATAATGGCAATCTACCGATGGTAAAGTCCATAAAACATGAAAAAAAAACTATTTTTATTGAATATAAAAAATGTTTAAACAGAGTGAAAATGATCTTTTGTTTGTTTTAAAATTGGAAAAAATATCATGTTTGAAATAGTATCTAAAACAATTTTTCCAACGGTTTGATAATCACTTAATTCCATATATATTTGTGCACTAATTCGACAGTAAAATTTATTATCGAATTGAAACATAGGTAAAAAAGTATTATATTGATTTATTAATTTTTGATATAAAATATTCATTTTATCTAATGTATCAATAAATGACGGTAATTCAATATTATTCATTGTACTTATAAATTGATCATTTGTTGTTAATGTTGAACTATTCCACATTTGTGCAATTAAATCACCAGCTTGTTTAGCTAATTGATGATTATAATTATAAATATCTGTTTCATTTGCAATTGTTTGTCGAAAATCTAAAGCATCTGATATAGTCAAATAAGAACTATAATCTTTTGTTCCAAGCCAAAAAAATTCATTTTGAAATGATTGTAAATAACCAAATGATGTTATTATTGGATGAATTAAATTTTGTAAATCTTTTTTAACATAAAGTAAACAAGCACTTCGATGACTGTATAACCATTTATGTGTATTTGACAAATAAAAATCAGGATCTAAACTTTTTAAATTAAGTTCAATGGCTCCAATAGCATGTGCACCATCAATAATTGTTAAAATATTTTGATTACGAAAATATTTAATCATTGTTTTAATATCAAATAATATTGCTGGTGATGAACTAATATGATCAAATACAATTAATTTAACATTTTTTTAGTTTATTTATTGTATCTTGAGTTTTTTCTAATAATAAATTTGTATTTTGAATTGTTTGATGATCAAGTTCAATTTGAATAATTTGTTCTTGTGAAAATATTTCTGTTGATATATATTGTAATGTTAATTTAACCATTCTATATGCAGTACTATAATATATAATAGTTTCATTCGATTTTAATTTTATTGATTTAAAAATTGAATTTATGGCAGCTGATGCATTATCAAGTATAACAAGATCATCTGGATCACAATTAACATATTTACTTAATTTTTCTCGTAATTTTTTCATTGCAACTTGAACATCCAAACGATACCATCGATCAGGATTACGTTCAGCTTGTAATTGATATTCATGAAGTTTTTCATGAACATATTTGGGTGCTGAACCATATGAACCATGATTTATATTTATATAAGATCGATCAAGAGAAAATAGTGGTAATAATGAATGACCAAATGGATAAACAGGATAAATTATCCAACAAAGAATAAAATTTAGACAAATAAAAATTTTCATTTTTTTTGTTTTTTGAAAATAAATGTAGTTTATCACTTGATGTTTCTTACTTATATTATCAAAATAAAACAAAAAAACAATTTGATATGTACTTTTTCTTCTCTTTTCTCTTATCTTCTAACATAAAGTTTCAAGAACTTTGTTTTCGAAAGAATTTTCAACAATAATAATAAATATTTTTATTTTTTTCTTTTAAAGTTTGTTTTTTCATCGGAGTGATAACAAAGAAGTATTGATTATGATATATTCAAATAAAATAGCATTACTATTAATTATGCATAATAATATTATCAATTTGACATCATATTTTCATCCCGATTTGATCCATTGAATGCTAACAGATATTTATTTTGAAAACTATTCATTAGTTATTCGTATTTTATATATATTTTTTTTTTCTTGTCAATTTAACTCAGCTTATTCAAGTTTTTCGGAGTAATAAACCAAAAAATCTTTTTATTTGTTCATAGAATTAATTTCTTATGGAAACTCTGATTCAATTATATATATATATATATTAGCTACATTATTATTCTTAAAGATGTTTTCATTAAATCTTTATAATAATATTTTCTATCATTATTTTTGATTTTCATGTTGAACAAATGAGATTATTCATAATTGTTAAACATTATTTTTAATAGTTAGTGTAACCTTTATTACTTAAATTATAATAAATACTTTGAAAAGAATTAGACCTTACAAGTGTTATAATATTAGATTTAGAAGAGATCAATTCACTTTTTGCTTGGAACCGAATGAGTTTATCTTTATTAAATAATCGTAAATATAGATATCACCGATGGACATATATTTAAAAAAATGATGTAAATATTACTATATAGTTAAACAATCGAAATATTCGATATCATCCTTTACTAACTCTTTGAATAAGACAAAATCAAATATTAACGTATGCCCTTTGTAATAAAGGTTACACTTCAATCCCTGAATGCTTCAAACATAGATTAATGCTGATAGAAATAAGTTTTTGCATTTGAAAATGATTGTTGAATTATAACTGATAACAAACCTTTTTTGTGTTTTTTTTTCTTTGAAACTCTTCAATGATTATAATTGTTTGTGGGTATGGGATAGTTGTGAGTTCTTTTGGCCTTGATATCCATATTACTCATGCTTTTACTCGTCTATAGAGGTTCAAATGTCTATGTACGAGATCCAAACAATGTTTCGATATAAATTTGATTTTGTAATGATTCTAAACCATATGGAACTTCATTTCATTCAATTAAACATGGTAAATAATAAACTGAAGATAAATAGAGAAATGTCTTAAGATATTACTAAAAAAATTATTCACAATATTCAAAGCAAAACAATGTTTGCATTTGAATATTTCCAGAAAATAACAATCAACCAACTTCTATGTCGCCCAAGAACAAGATCTTTTTTCTTTTGGTTAATAGTTCTCAACTTGTTTTAATGACAACATTGCTTAGCTATTATTTTAATAAATATAATAAAAATGTGTTCATAAATATTCATATATTCATTGAATAATCAAATAATATTTTCTCATTAATTATTTAAACTGATCTTTATCAATAGAAAACAAATTCATCAATAGAGAATACATATATTATTATTCCATATCATATTAAATATTTAAGAATACCAACCAATTCTATTGAGCAAATATATTGTTTCTCGATCAATCAAATTTGATACAAACTTTTCTGAATAAATCATGAAATAGTTTAATGATAATACTATAAATTCAACATGTTGAAAAAATTATTAAACAATTTCTGTAGAGCTTGATACAAAATAAACTCAATTGAAATAAATAAATTTTCAATTTCGACTGCTCAAGCAGATAAACATTTTCAAAAACATGTTTAGATGCACAAAAAATGGCTTAAAACTCAAAAAAAAGTGGACGCGTTTAGGTCACAATCGTGACTCCCGAATGTCATTGAAAAACAATCACTTTTTAAAAGCTTTTTTATGCCTTTAAAAGCGTGTAACGACATAAAATGTTGTTATCTTTTTCATACTCGTAAATCACTATTATAATTGCAATCACAGTTTATGAAAATGCAAAAAAAGATTACTTTTTTTGTTCTTTTTATGCATTCACGAGTGGTTTTTTTTTGCTGAAAATGCATTTAAACGCATAAAAAGTAGTTGTTTTTCACTGACAATCGGTAGCCGTGATTATGAGCCTAACACATCCACTTTTTTTTCGTACGTATCAAGCTCTACAGAAATTGTTTAATAATTTTTTCAACATGTTGAATTTATAGTATTATCATTAAACTATTTCATGATTTATTCAGAAAAGTTTGTATCAAATTTGATTGATCGAGAAACAATATATTTGCTCAATAGAATTGGTTGGTATTCTTAAATATTTAANTTGATACATAGAAATATATGATTAGCCAATGGATTCAATGTTATAGTTTATATTAGTACTTCAATAGCCTAAGAATCACTGTATGACAATATATTAGAAAAGAAGAAAGTACTACTCGACTTATAGACTAAAGATCAAATGGCTGAGTACCCAGTCGTGACCGGGTCCCAGTCAGGACTGGGACTGGTGCATCCCTAGGTTCTAGAGTTGCTCTTTCTATATTTGTGAGTTTCAAGCACAACTGAATTTATATTGATACGATAGCAAAGGAGTTACGATATTGAGTCGATAATTTTTCACAGCACTGGATATAAGTTCGCCTTGTTGAATTCTGTTGCGCATTAAAATCCAGTTAATTGCATCGATAGGTTTTGTTGTTTTATTGCTTTCTATATAAAAGTCAAGAAGCTTTTAGACGCCTCGAACTGAATGTTAAAACAAGTTGCTTTCTTTTAATGCTTCAAACCCTAATTTAATAGAAGTTCACGCAAAGACTATGAGTTAAAACACAAGGGGGAAACATCGTACTTTTGTACTTTAAAGTACGTAAAGTACCTGAAGTACAACGAAGTACAATGAAGTACAATGAAGTACTTTAAAGTACATTATATTACGTTAAACTACAATGAAGTACAATTAGGGGTGGGAATTTAGCGTTATGTTACCAGGTAACTGGTAACGGCAATTGAGAGACCTCGACCTTTCGGCTAATGAGGAGGTATTTTCGGAAAATAACGACTTTCTATAAAGGTTGACGAAAGTAAATCGGGGTCGAGGAATGCGAATCTGCTATCGATTTCTTGAAATTGGGAACTCGATTATTAGACGAAGAAAGGGATGTTCTGCAAAGATGAGCACCTACGATAACGCCTCGTATCACCTGTTGTGAAAAATCAGTCTTGCTGCTGGGCTTAATTTTAGTGTATTTCCTAGTACTGACGTGAGTCTGTATGTTGTCAGTCCCGTTGGTCGTTCAAAATGGTGTTTCGGTGTGAGATACTTCAATGATGCTTGCAGAGTGAAAGGCTCATTAGCGACCCGCTTCGCTGACATCGATAGTATATTCGAATTTGAAGGATCTTTTTTGCATGAAACTGATTTGCGGAACTGCAAGTATGTGCTTGTATATCGGAAACCAGTGAAGCGCTGTAGCTGAAGGCATCAAAGGGTGGCTATGGCTGAAGTTGTGCTTTTGGCTGGGAGTGTATTGGTGTTGATCTGCGCACGAATTGAGGCTCTTGTAATTGTATTTGAGGGGGCCCACAAATTGACCGCTCAAATTTACAAACGGTGCAGTTACACATAGCACATATTCGCAGCTTTCATCATTGCGTCCAATGATGCGTGTTTCTTTGGTTTGGAGAGCTTTATGCGTTTCTGAAGCTTCATGAAATATTAAAGCTCTATGGGTATGTGGGGTTCATCGAGTTCAATAAGAACCTCATAGCGGAAGGCTGAAAGTTCAAAGATTCAGTTTAAGGCCACAAATACAGTGCGGTTCGGGAATTCCTTGTGTTCCTTTTATTTTGACGGTTTCTAATGCTACTTGTGAGGTATGGTTTGCTGACTGCAAGACGGGATTGATTTTTAAAGTAACAGATAAAGGAGTCATAAAATACTTTGATTTTTATCATTTGTATGAACAGCTTTGGTAGAGTGTCTGAGAGTCTGCTACTGTCTGGGGTCGGTGGCAGAATCAGTGGGCCTTCGTGCTCATTAAAAATGGTTGCTACTGTTGGTGCCTTGGGATTACTGATGGTTTCTATTACTTGCGTGGAAACTCCGATAGTTCTTCGTAATCCCTAGTAATTTCCGGTAGTCAATTGGTGTACCTGAGAGTCCCTGGTAATCTTTATTAGTTCCTTGCGATTTCCGATCGTACCTAATGAATGCCCATAGTCCCCGTCGGTCTCTTGTAATCACTTGTCGTTCTGCACTATCCTTAGGAATCCCTTTCAATACGTGTAACAGATCTTCTTATCCTTTATCAATAGCTCTCGGTGAAAAAGCAAAGTGGGATGCAATATGACTTTTGGCAAGATGTAACCTTGCGAAAATATACGGTTAACTGATAAGCATTGACAAAGATAGAAATGTTGGAATAAAAACTATCATACTGAGGTTGATAACTGTCCTGAAGTTATATGAAAAATCAAGTGTTCATAGCATCTACATTAAAAAATATCCACTTGTTGCGAGACATATTCTTTGACCCAATTTTATTCATGCATATATCTTTCTCTATGCTTCTTCAGTATCATATATTATTGAGTCCAATAACATTATGTAGCATATCCTCCTTCCGAAGACAATCTTCTTAAAAGAACTTGCACTCAACACTGAAAATAGCCCATCAATTACTTTTCTCATACTATTCGAATTAATACCACGTCTACGGATAATTCATAAACAAATATTTTCCGTGCAAGGTCTTTATCATACTGCATTTCGGCATAAAAATTGAAGTCATTTCAACGACTTCATTTCGTACTGCATTCCTGCTCCCAAGGTAACTATTCAGCATCGAATGCCATGGTCAACTAGTACATGAATTCAAATCGGTCCTGAACAGGTCACCCTCCATTCCACACCTGATATTCCTAGCTTTCACCAAGAAAACCCGGCATTCATGAAAACAATTTCCAGAATTCAACGCAAACTCTACTCAGCCGAGTGCAGTAGAACACGCTTTCAAACGGTGAAATGTACTTTTAATAAAAAAGTCTTCTTATTGTACTTAAAGGATGGTTTTTCATAAAGAAACAGCAGAAATCCACAGGATCCATGAAAACGTTTCTGGGAAACTCGTAAACTAGTATAAGGTCTTCTAAAATTTTTCTTCCTCGTCACCTTAACTTCTAGCAGGGCCGAGTGGTCCGATTCGATACAATCACTCATTTCTACCAAATTTGACACATATAACGTGTAAGCTCAAAACTCTCCACTTCAATACTTTTCGTCAAACTTTATAATAAATCGTTATTCCCTCGAAATATCCCTTCCTTAACCCAAGAATCCACTTCGGAATTTTGAGAAACCTATTGGAGATTTGGATTCCCCGACTCCGATTTACTTTCGTCAACCTTTATAGAAAATCGTTATTTTTCGAAAATACTTCTTCCTTACAATGAAGTACTTTAAAGTACATGAAGTACGTTAAAGTGCATTAAAATACTTTAAAGTACATTAAAGTACATTAAAGTACATTAAAGTACATTAAAGTACGAAAGTAAAGAAGTACGATGGTTTCCCCTTGGTCAAACAGCACATCTTTCTCTTCAAAGTAAATACTTTCCTAGAACTAATTGACCTGCTATCTGTTTAAAGCAAAGTTATTGAACAGAATACTCTAAAAAGGTTTGTGAAAGGTAGAGATTTATTTTCTGCCTTGTTTCAAAATAGCTATGCAAAATTTCAAGTAATTTCGTGTCGAGATCAGGCGAGAACCCACTACCGCAAACCCTGCTGAAGCTTCTGTACCGTAAGAAAATATTTTCTCATATATGGAACACGATAGAGGTTAGTGTCTAATCAACCCATATGAAATTTGAAACGACCGATTATAGAAAGGCGTACTATATAAAATTTCTAGAAAGGTAACTTGCGTCAGACTTATTTTAATAAAATTTCTTTTCTAAAAAGAAAAAAAGTGAGAATACTTGCTAAGGTTACAAAACTAAAGCTTACCATCTTCCAACTGCTTGTCTTTAAATCTAAGACGAATCTGATCTGCAGCTGTTCCCAGTTTATACTGAATTTGTACTTTAACATAACTTATCGTGTATGTAGGTTCAATTTCTATTGAAACAGGCTCTTCTCCAGTAAGTGGTTCGACGAAAACATGCATTTATGGTGGAAAATAAGTTTTGATGATCTAAAGCAGAATACAAAGAGTAGAACAGTTACGCAAAGTATTTAACAGTTTGAAGAGATGTATTGCATCTTACGCACATGTCGCGAGATCTCTCGTGAAAGAAGCGAGAAAATAGAGTGGATAGAATGGAATATTATTAAAATAAAACAAAAACTGGACGTCAGTACTCCGAAATACTTTCATGTTTTACTCATAATATAGTTTAATGACTTTATAGATATGTCACTATTGACTTTATTTTAGGCGTTGCATGAGCCTCTATAAAATGGTATCCTTAGTTGTTCGATAAATGAATTCTATCGACAAAAAAAAACAAAAAGTACTTAACGTTTGTATGATTGTTTTACAGAACGAGCAATTCTTTCTCAGTATTTCTTCTTTTTCATGGATAGGATCGATTCAAGAGAAAACTGAGGGTACAATTTTGTATAGGCTGACGTAAGCCTATAGTTGCACATCTGTCAAGTCATGAAATAATATTACAGCTCAAATATGAAAGTGTTTAGAAGTAATTGCAACCAGTATTTGTAATAAAAAGTCTTAAAATAATAAATGAAAGGATGAAAAGAAAAATACTCGTCATATACTCCCCTATATAACTTTCGAGAAGCTTTTATGTGTGGCGGCGCTTCATTCTTTTTCGGCAAACATATGAAGGTAAAGCTTCCAACAAAAAGATAAGAATGACGAACATGATTTTTTTTCTTATTTTAAGAGACTCCAGAGATTTATAAAAGATCATTACACGCTCTTTTTTCTACCATCACTGGAATGAATTAAAAAGAAAAATCCTAAACAGCTTTCGGGGGATGTGCGGATGTGACTGCAAATGTTGGTGGGTGGATATGGATGCAGTGATATCGAAGGGATGACGCATCAACTATACCCATACCCTCTCTTACTTCTTTTTTTCTCGTTGGTGTTTATATTTATCTACCTTTTGCAGCGTTCGGCTTTCTTCATACCACCATTATTTTATCAGAAGAGCAAATAGAAAGTGGATAGAGAAAGAAGAGGCAGAGTGATAGAAACAAATTGACGAAGAGAATTCCTTGAAAAAATAAGTTGAAACGAAAAAGAGACGTTTAAAGTTTTCGAAGCAACGCATAATCTCAGACTATGTAGCAAAACGGGTGGGCTCTACCCCAGTGAGTAAACACTTAAATATCTTTTGTAGAGACTATCCAGTCCACAATTTATGCATTCGGACTCAAATTTTTGAATAGTTTCAAACCAGGATTCAAACTCAGAACTGGATCCAAACGTGCTCTTGATATTCAATAAAAAGTTTAATGGGCACCTGATAGTCACTTCGAAGCACATCCCATACACTATCCAAGCAATATTGACAGTAACCTTATAATAATTCAATTATCATCAACTCTTTTCATCATAGTAGAATTTGTGAAGTTTGAGTCGATCGGGTCCTGGTTCGTGACTGGCACGACTAGCTCTAGTCCTTTTTAGAACTATCAAAGAGAGAGGTTCCTGTCTCTGGGTAGTTAGTTTCCTGAGATGAGGCTTAGTGTTTTTTTAATTCAAAATCAGCCTGAACTGTGACTACTTTGTGACTTTGACTGTGGAGGAAAAAAGTCACTTGGAATCATGATGACGTTCCTTTCACAGTTTAACATAAGCTATACTAATTTGTAACCGAAAAGTTGAAAAAACAACACCTGTAACAATCCGCAGGAATTTTTATTTTCTATTGCTCTCGAATGAAATTGCAGATCATTTCATTCTGTATTCACGGTATAATATATGGCAACAGCTCTTCCCACTACAGATCGTCGCACAAGGCGAGCACTTCTTATTGGCAACAATAAATATGAACAGGAAGAGAACATACTTCTACATTGTATTAATGACGCCGATGATCTGACTGGTAAATTAAAGAAAATCAATTTTAAACCCATAACAACAAAACACAATTTGACAAGAGCACAGATGCTGGACACGATCCAGGAGTTTAAAGACTCAGTCAATGATGGAGATCTTGTTATATTTTTCTTCTCTGGGCATGGACGTCACGTAAATGGTGAAAACTATTTGATACCTATCGATGACAGGAAAATAATAACAAATGAAAACGTCGTAGATCATGGGATCAAGGTGGATATATTACTAGCTCGTTTAGCTGATAAGAATCCGTCACATGTAACAATATTTATTTTGGATTGTTGCCGTATCTATCGTCCCAATAGTACAACTAAATTAAAAGGTGAGACCTTATTTACAGAAAGAAAAATGACAGTATATAGATGGAGTAAAGAACCTATAGCAATCGTATTTCATCAGACATCCTTGAATGTTTGCTGATCAGAGTTCGCTGAATGAACTAGACAGAAACTCTAACGTATAGATTAGCTAACATCCAATACAATTAACTTTTCAACTGTACCAGCAAGTTAAGAGATCAGCATTCAAATCAAATTTTTGTCCTGGAGGTCTCTCAAGTTGTTACTTTCAAAATAAGACGCTAGGAGCTTATACGTCAATTGTTTTAGGTGGACCAGCAAACACAGATGGTGTATGTCATGGTGTAATCACAAGAGCTGGTACCTATGTACATTTTGCTTGTGCTTTAAATCAAAACGCCAGCGACGGCTTTCCAACAGATCGTAATGGAGTATTCACCAAACATCTATTGAAACATATCACAACGCCGGACCAAGATTTATTTCTAATGTTTATGAAGGTGAACCGTGATGTTTACCATGAGACTGATGGAAGCCAAATGCCAACAGGATGGAACGGATTGATGCTAAATCGGCATATCTATCTCAATGAAATCACAACAATTCCTATAATACCATCGGTTTCTCCAAATTCCTCACAAGGTAACACTAAATATTAAGTAAATTGACGGTGTAACTGTAAAGGAAGATGTGGCTGCAGTTGTAGCTCTGATGTGGATGGATGCCTTTTTTTTACCACGATCTACATCCTATTTCCACCCGCACACTGTGTTGATGTCTGCATCTGCATTTTTGGAATCCACACCCACACCCACATCCCACACATCCAAACCCACACCAACACCCCACAGCCACAGCCACAGCCACAGCCACAGCCACAGCCACACCCACACCCACACACCCACACCCACACCCACACCCCACACCCACACCCATACCCACACCCACACCCACACCCACACCCACCCTCTATATCGCGATATTTCTTTGATGTAGTCTTTGAGGCATGGGCGACGCTATGACAAGTTTTTAAATGCAATATGTTCTCTTCCAGTTGAAAAGTGGCGGATAGATAAGATACCATTGGTACTTGGTGCATAATAATATTGAAATGATTATGAAATTCGGTCATTCGAATTCAGAACGTTTAGGAAATAGTTATGCCTGACGAACCTGACGAGATCTCTTAGTATAATGCTCCTTATTTAGTCAAGTCCAGTTAATTTCTGTATGAAGAGATGAACCATTATCCTATGTTTAGTGTCTGAGGAAATCAACGAGTTATGTCTGGGGAAGATCGTTCGAATGGCTAGAATCCGTTGTAAACTAGACTTGATCTTTTGATTTATCATAGTGAATTTGAAAATACAGTGATTTCGCATGCACAATCCAAAATGCCCCAGACTATAAACACTGAATAGGGGTTGATAGGGCATTAAGTAGTTTTGCCCACCGCCCAGGAAACGTTCCTGTGGAGAGTACGAGACCACTGAAAAAATTCTGTTTCCTGATTTGTATGTATGTGGTTGTGCATACGAAGAAGAAGTCCACACATCATCTCTATCAATCCACAAGGTGATTCAATTGTAAGGGGTTGATATACAACTACAAAATGATGTCTTTAGTTTCATATTAAATGTCCTCAAACTATTTGTGTTGATAAAAAAGCCATCGTCTGTAATGAATATATATTGTTTTATATTTCAATATTTACTTGACTTTGTTTGAAAAATCAGTCAGCAACTGACAAATTGACAAGTTTTTCTCATCCACAGTGTTCCTAAAAACGAGTATGCCGATGATTTTGATCCTTGCCTTTATCGATTGAATGGTAGCATGCAGTAGCGTCTCTTAGCCATGGTGAGGAGATGTGTACAAACTGTTGCTACATCCGTTTCTTGTCAAACTCAGGAAGGCCAAAAATAGTGAGTGACGCTAAATAATGTGTCTAAAATCACTGTTTTTTAACAAGAAATTTACATGAAAAGCTAGTAATTGATCAGCGCCAGGGTTACAGTATGCTGCGCGTGATTCAACAGAGTGAGATTCAATCGATTTGTGCGTGCGTTCAAATACAATTCATACTCAAATTAGCAAAAAGGTGGTGCCGAGTTGTAACGATCATGGAAACGATGATTATTGTTTCGACATTATGTAAGATAGGATTAAGTTAACAATCGAGCAATACGTTTTCTCGTTATATTTTTATATGGTTACTTACAGCGCATCGAGTTCTAAAAAATTGGATATACGAGCAAATATTCAATCGCCTTTTCTGACTTAAAATATTGAAAAAGCTCAATTTGTTACCTTCTGAGCAAAATTCTTGTCATTTTCAAAAAAAATCGCGTTTTGAGCCATTCTTATTGTTTCACAAATTCCAAAAAACTTTTTTTCTAATACAATGTGTGAAAATTGCATCTAGCAGTATGAAGTTGAAATTGAAACGAGACTGTTAGTCTTTGGTGATCATTTGAAGCAATTGAAAAGAGTGTATGGCAAGAGCTTCACGTCTTCCCGTCTTCGATATTTAGTTGATATGACTGTGGATAGCATAGAATAAAAGACCCACATCCGCAATCAAGTTGTGAACATTGTGAGAGCAACTAGCGCATTTTATTATCATGGTTCCTTTTCGCAGTTACTTTTAGTTTGGATTACTAATGAATTGATTTTGTATAATAATTCATGAAAGCTCTATATTGCTGTTTGACAGATTGAGCTCCCATAATTGTTTGATTCAACTTTTAGCTCCATCACACCAATACAGCGATTCTGATGATAGTACACTTATTCCTTGCGAATATTGCAATCAGGAAATTGAATGGCACCTTTATAAGAAGCATGTGGTAAGTATTTGAAATAACTTTTCACATTCTTATTTCCATCTATTAGAAACTTTGCCATGAGAAACAAAATAAAACAATACAAGAACAGATACGGTTAGTTTGATTTCTGAAATTATGATACATTCTATTTTGTCTATTATTTAAACACAATAGTCAACAGCCAGCGGGTGCTAGTACTATTAAAGGCACGTATTATGAATCGCTAATAAATGTCGGCATGGAAATTCTGCTCAATAATGCTCAGGAAAGCTTTTTCTATTCTACTGCGAATATCTCCACCATTTTTCACTTTTCATAGAGAAGTCAGTAAGAATTTTGTTCCGAAAAGTGTGCTTATAAAAGCCCATACCAATAGAACTCTTTGTAAATTTATCGAGTCTCCCTTGAGTAGAGATGGAACTATATGTCTTATTTCATTAGAATCATTGGAAGTTGAGCTTCTAATGTATCTATATAACTTCTTTTTCTTGTTTCCTTTGAATATTAGGAACTTGTTTTTTTTAAATTTCAAGGGCAAAACACATACCAAGCTTTTAAAAATGCATTGATACTTCGCCACTTTTTTCACCATAGTTTTATTCTAGATCATAAGAAGTAGCATAAGGGAAACTAGCGCAAAAACCTGTGTCAGATCCTATATATTACAACTTAAGAAAATCTTTCATGTTAAATGTATTGCTAGTAGATTACAGGCAACGCTTAGGAAATGCATTGTTCAGAGGACCGCATATACTTTTCATTTGAACTATATATCTATGATTGAATGTGGTTCTTTTGTGTTGATCCTAAATATATGACTGATTTTGCTACGATATTGAACGTTACTGATAAACTGCTCTGTTCGATTGCATGTTTAACAAGTTTACCTCCTTCAGCTGATGTAACCAGAAAAACTTCAATTTTCTCCACAATTAGACACAATTTAAGAAAAACCCAATAAGTATCATTATATGATCGTGATCGAGAGCTTCTGAGAAGAAATGACACTTGATCGTATTGTTTCGCACTAAAGATTGGATGAGTATACACAAGTATTTACTTAAACCAATCCAAAAGTAGCGACAGTGATACTTTAAGAGTGAGTGTGGGTGAGAACACGGATGAAGAAAAGATCTGATACCTTCACACCAAATGTTCACACTCTCAGCCGTCGGCACTCTTATTCCTCTCCTGTTACTCATACCCACATTCCCAAAGAAGTCTTTATTTCGTCTGTTACTATCAATGGCAACCGTCTCTGATTCGAGTAATTCATCAAATAATGAAAAGATATTGAGTCTTATTGAAAATGGCAAAAAAAGCTGTTGAAAAATATGCATGTTTGTCTTGTATCGCAGATGCTTCAACAACAACTGCTGTAGACGTAACCAAAACAAAAAGAATAACGGACTCTAGCAAAGCTCAAGTAATTTAAAGAATTTCTTAGAACCATTTTCCATGCTCATACTTATCTCATTTTGTTTATAGATCAATACTGCTGCAGGAGCCGTCTCCAATACCGTAAACACTGGAGTTAGCTCCATCTCTAAAGAGGTGAGACAATAATCCTTCTATAAAATGGATATCCGTTGAATGTCTTATACTTGTAGATGTCTGTCATGAAAATCAATGTTCCAGTAACTAAAGGTAGGATATTGTTGATTATCGCTTCAAAGTGAAACTGATAAGTAATGATGAGAGTTATATGAATCAAATTATTGTCTTTTCTCAGGCGCACTGACCACGCAAAAGAAATTCATAGAGCATACGATCACTTTACGAGTTTTACTCACTTCTTCAAAGTTGACGTGTGTGAAGTGACTCAATTTTTCGAGAGAAATGTCATAATTTGTTTAGAAAAAGAAGTATATGTTCTTCACCAGAGCAAGGTGTTTATCCTCTTTGTATTTGTACCATGACGTTTCAGCGAAAGTACGTGAAGATTTTTTAAATACGAATAATACAAAGACTGTCATTTTTTAAACAAACGTTGTGCCCTAACCTTACCTAGACTCAGGTTTCAGCTCTATATCTTGAATGCGTGCATCACTGATTAAATGGTGCTTGAAAATGATGTTAAAAAGTGAATGCGACTCCTAGAACCTAATAATCGGACTCAACAACAAATAAAAGTCAGGAAAAATATGCCACCTAAAATCACTGTATTCTATAAAAACGTGTCAAGTTTCTTTCATTCTTATTTCATAAACAATCAGAAAGTAATCGTTTCTGATTAAGCATCCAAAAGCGCATAGAAAATTGTGATTTGATTGAGTTTAAAATTAGTAAAATTTAAAGAAAATCTGCTCAATACAAATAGTTGAAGCATACAGCTCTTGAACGCAAATCTTGCCAAGGGGGTTAATGAGGATTTGAAACCACCACCTCATCACCTTTTCTGCATCTTCAGCATCTCTCGGGACTCTCAGCACCTTCAACACTTTTTCCAGTACCTCGCGGTAAAGTTTGGTGCTTAGTGTGGTGTACTACCTTGGCAGCACATAAGCAGTGCATTTCACCGCAGGGTGCTGGAAAAGGCGTTGTAGATGCTGAAGATGCTTACGGCGAGAGGTGCTGAGGGTGCCAAAAGGTGCTGAAAGTGCCGAAAGGCCGATGAGGTGCTGGAAGTTCTAAACCTGCACTTGTTCCCTTGAATATTTCTCTCTTCTCTTTGTATTCTATATTGTATCGATTTAGTCGCTAGCGAATGGTAATTAGAACTATGAGTTGTACACTGTATTTCTGTAAAATAATGATGAATCACTCAGTATTTCAATCAGAACTTTGAGTATTTTGTTAGATACTATTTACTAAGCTTGAAATGAATCAAT